GAAGCCACACTGCTCTTCTTGGATCTTGAGGTCAGCTATTTCACGGCACCTCCTTTCTAACACCTTTACGCAGACTTTACCTGGGAGGCTCAATAATATCATACCCCTATAATTGGAGCATTCCTTGTGGTCTCCGTTCTTAAATGCGGGTACAATAACTCCCGTTCTGCAGTCCGCTGGTTTCTTTCCCGCAGTCATTGCAGTTTGACAGACACGCGTATTCCAGCACATTCCTTGTTCGCCCAATGCCTTGTACACTTCACGTTGGATTTCTTCAGTTCCAGGAGCCTTTCGATTTTTCAAGCTTTTCACAGCTTGTGTAATTTCGTCTGCAGAGATAATAATATTGGCTTCCCGCTGCTCTACAGGCGAGTCCTCCTGCGGTTGCGCACGGTTGAGCAGTTCGTCAAAGTACTCGCTCCATCGCCGACGAAGATCATCATTCTTTGTAAGAGGCGTCCAGACCTGTCCTTCAAGACTCGTATGACTACTCTTCTTTTCACTTCGTAGCCTGTGGTCTGTCTTCCAGAAAGTTTATGCGCTTACCTCGAAGGGAGAACTTGAATCCTCAGTCGAGGAAATACAACGTGCTCTGTGTGAAGAGTGCGGAATCAAATTGTGATTGCCGTTTTCAATGCGCATGTGACAGCAGAATTGAAAAACGGAATGGAGTGATTTGAAGGAAGAGTAAAGGTTTGAAGTTGTTCCGGCTTTGTGCTAATATCAGACTGTCTTCTGCGAACACCTTCTTTGAACATCAGTATACCTGGTATAAGGAAGCTTGAACACAGATGTCAATGATCGATTTGGTAATCTTATCGTCTGACCTAAATCGCTCTGTAACGGATGTTACCGTTAAAGGAGGCGCACTGTTGGCAACTAATCACCACTTTGTTGTACCGACTACTCGCTGCAGTAGAAAAAAACTGGATAATCATATGGGAAACGTTATCCTCTACTAAATCGAGGGCAAAAATTGCAACAACATGGAATGACGTTTTGAGCACATTTCAGTGATGACGGCAGACGCTTATTCCGAGGGAGGGCTGTATAGTTGCGGTTTACTGGAGGCTGCCAATTACACAGGTTGGCCAGTTATCGGGGCGATGCTTCATTGAGCTTCCCGAGAAAAGTGTCCGAAGTATTAGAAAGAAGGTTCCCGGAATAGATGGCAGTAAAATACAAGAGCAGTGTGGCTTTCAGACCAGCCAAAGTACATCTGACCAGATATTCGGCCCATGCCAGACTGCTGAAAGATCGTGGCAGTTCGTCCGTCAGGTTACATGCGTTTTGCGGACCTAGAGAAGCTTATACAATCGGATCCCGCGCCGCAGTCCGTGGGCATGCCTGCGAACTTATAAGCTCTGATAGCAGGTGCTGTGTCGTGTAAATGACGCTAAATCGAAGCCTTTCGGCGTTGGCACTGGTGTCAGCCAAGGCTGCATTCTGTGTTGTATATGGATAGAACGGTCAATGCAGTATCGTCGGCTTGTCTGTTTGCAGACGACCCTGCATTGTTGGTATGTTCTGAAGATGATCTGCAGCGCGCTTTGGAAAGGTTAGCGAGGTGAATGTGTCTAAAACGAAAAGGTTAGTACTTTCCCGCTCATCTGCCCATTGGCACATGCGGCAAAACCGTGAAGCAGGTAAATAAGTTCACATAACAACCCGGGGTCGTTTACTAGTGATGGAAAATTTGAGGATGAGATCGATCGGCGGGTTAGACTGACCAACGGCGCTCTACGCGAACTAGCCGAAAAAGTTGACTAAAGCAGAGCTTAGCCCGACTAAATCGTTTGTATTCAAGACGATTTTCATCCTCATCCATGGTCATGAAAAGTAGGCCATGACAGGAAATCTTCTATCTAGGTATTGACATGGTCAAGAGTCCAGATATCCCAAGAGATCCGGTGAACCGTGGCTGTTTCTCAAGATTGAGAAGCCTCAGCTGAAATGGTAAGCGACTTTTACACAATTGCTTCCAGAAAAGGCGAGGCGACAAAGATACTTGATTCAATGACCGTGCAGATCGCCAAAGATGATTTGGGGTAGGCGTCTCTAATCACTAAGCTCTAGAGTGAAGTTTTCATCTGCTGAAGCTCAAACACTGGCAGAGGATGAAGAATTTTTGAGTCAGTTTGATGCACCTGCCCCACCGACTGGAATTAAGACAGATTATAAAAGCTAACGCAATGACCGCTTACTTCCGTAGGAGGAACCGATACAGACTGATCAACATCGCTTCTCTTCGAATATACCGACATGATCCCACTAGCTCTCGTTTGGTGCACAATGTGGCGTAGATATATTACACTATTATATTGCATTCATTAATAAAATGTAAGCACAGGCAGTAGAGATTGCGTGACTTACTACTGACCAGGGCGATACCAAGCGCCTAGTTTGACAACTTTATTCAAAACACAAAAAATACAGACATCAGCCAACATCATACGTTGATAATCACCAGAAGCTGCACAGCAATATAGCGTTAAGAGTAGACTTTAAACAAAAGAGGTTCACTGCATTTGACCTTACGAACCGAATGAATGACTGACGATGGACGCACAAAGTCCATCGACGGCGGTGGTGCGGCTACTTTGAAATAATCTGGACGCGGTTGAAGTACTTCTTCAAGTACGGCAGAAGGCGCCGATTGCTTTCCTCGCAAATAAGTAGATCGTATTTGCGATCAACGCAACGCGAAGAGATTGCCTCAAGCCACGCTTCGTCCGGAATGAGGGTACCAAATTGAGACACCTGCATATCCAACTCTTTGGCTTCGGTCGCTCGCCGTAAGCCGACGTACATGCAAGATGAACAAAGACGAACCTCAGCGTGGCTGATGCGATCATTCATACGCCCCAACTGCGGTAAGCGATGAAGCATGCGATAAGCATACAGTCGCACTTGTGAGGAGAAGTAATTCTTGACGATCTCTTGCCACTGTACGCACACTAACGCACAGAAATAAACATCGGCGTAAGGCAGAAACTCTAGTATCCGCTGCAGCAGATCCGGCGATATGGTTGACCAGTCCGAATTCTCGCCTCTTATCACACTGTCATCCATCAGTACATCCTCGTTGACGGCAGCACACATCATTTATGCCGAGAGCATACAAGTCTTGAAACCTAAGTAATGGTTCGCCGGAAAGTAACCGACAGAGCGGTACAACGAAACCACAGCAACCCTACAAATGTTAATGTAATGAAATTTTGAAAACAGCAAAATCTAAAAAAAATAGCAAAATTATAGGCCCAAAAATGTTGGAACATGTGGGAGAACGATTTGGTACTGTTTCAACATTCAACGATCGTTTAATAAGCTTAGACTACAGGATTAATACGGCATTCGTTTCCTTCGCTGTCGGTCTACGACAGCACCACCGAAAGGGAAGTTATCCCAGGCATTTCCTGAAAGGTCACTGAAGAATGCTAGCCCCACCGCCTAGTCACGGCATGACTGCCATATTACCGTCAGTAGTGTCATAATTTCATCGGTAATTCAGGGTATGACAATAAAACATCTAACGCCTCGGTAGCTACTGGCTATATCTCCTGTTGCATTACAAGGGCAATATGTGGTAAACGACAACAGAGTAACTTCAGACTACAATGAAAACGGACTGACGTTGGTCCGATACGTCAGATGTACCCAATTAAAGAAATTTATGCGTTGTCTTCCGCCTGTCACTTACCACATGTTTACTTAAATAATTACTGAAATATAACGAAAAAACCAAATCGTCAAACATTAAAAATCACATGCAACGATATCAAATTCGACATATTCGAATATACGTAGAACAGTAAGAACTCGAACGAAGAATCAGCTTTTAATTATCCAAAACGAACAAAACGTGAAACAAAATTCGGAACAAAAAAATCCTCTATAATCAACAACAATCAAAAAAATAAATTATTAAAAAAAGAACAAATAAAAGAACAAAAAACATTAGTCCCCAAACAGTCGAACAAATAATAACCAAAATGAATGAAATGATATAATCACCAATGCCCTATTCGACCGTCACGGATTTTGCCAAATTTCTAGGCCGATCCACCTAAATAAATACGCTTATAATAAAAATAAAACAATACAGTTCTTTCGCTTACGGTCAGCATTTGCGCTGATTAAAATTATGGTGCTGGTGGGGAGGAAGCACTGCAGATCTTAAAGCAAGTGAACTGAATCTACTTAATCAATTTTTATTAAGCTCCAACAAGGCAACAACTGGGTCCTACATCATCTCACTTCTTCGCAGATGATTAACGA